CGAAATCCTGGTAATATTCTCTAATTGAAAATGGAATCAATATCGACAGTTGAATGTCGTGATGTTTGTAATGCCCGCAAACAGGGACTCTCTTAAGGTTATCTTTAGAGATGTTAAGTGACGCAGTGACCTCACTAGGCGAACCTGGTTATTATATGGGAATGATAATTTATTGATTGATGAACAATCAACAATAGCAACATACAACAAAGACTGATATATTTGAAAAGTACAAGGCAATATGAAAGCAAAGATGTATGCAATAACACAATACTATACAATACAATACAACACAACACAACACAACACAATGAAGATGTGAAATCAAGGTTATTTTCAAGCTGATGATCAAGTGGCGGCTATGTTGAAGAGGATGCGAGGCTTGGATATTCTAGGCTCGTACAGCATATCCTGTGAGCATAATTTGTTCTGCTTATCCTGGTTTGATATCAAATCAAGCATTTTGCTACGCTCGTAATCATAAAATTAGAGTTTCATATGTCTCAAATATAGTATTTCTTCTCCATACGAATGACTTAACTTCAAACTTTATTTAATATAGAGGGGAGTGAAATAAGTTTATAAGTCTTATTTTTGATAAAACTTATTATTTTATGAAATTCTAATACTACTTTGATTAGATTTATGAGATGTTTAGTCATCCCTTTTAAATTTTTAAATTTTAAAGCTTTTTATTACTTTTTTTCAACTTCTATAATTTAAAAGCTTTTAAACCCTTTAAAAGTTTCTATTCTAAATAAACTTAGAATAGAATTATTAATAAAAAACTTTAATTTTTAATAAATTCAAACGATTTTACTAAAATTTAATAAAAGTTATAATACTTTTATTATTTAAAATTTACTATATAAATGTTTAATTAGTATAATAATATAATTAACGGAATTACTAAAGATAGGGAAAAGCTTAATTACTTTTTAGTGTGTTTTATAATACCTACGCTGTCAATCTCCGTACTTTATTATCGCTTGTGATCTCTGAGATGTGGAAAATGAATATGGTATTTAATCTCCAAATTTCAGGAAACCCCTTTTACTCTAATGTTCGTACATTTGATCCAACGACGGAGTACGATGAATAAGTCGCCGGCTTATATTGAAATGATGTGAAACATCAGATGCATGGTTCCTTGTCTCAAACACCAGGAGCTTCTTTCTCAAGCAAGGAGTCAAACGGTCGAATAGCCGCATGGGTGAAACTGTTTGATCCGATTTTGAAAAGGTGTTGGGTAAACGGAAACAAAACTTGTGACTCTCGAGATGTCAGATGGGAGATGGGGTTTGTATATCACCAACGAATGAGAGAGTTACGAGAATGGATTTGGCATTTGAAGATGGGATTTCCATGTCAGCAACGAATGAAAGAGTTACGAAAATGGATCTGGTATTTGAAGATGGAATTGCCATATGAGCAATGAATGAATGGAAAGCGAGATATCTGCACAGCAGGTACTACAGGTACAGTATGCGGAACACAACAAAACCTCAATATTATTGAACTTCACACGTTCAAGAGCACAAAGATCTCTTACCCAGAACACACGTCCATTTCAGCAAAGTATGAACCTCTCATAACCGATCCCTCAATCATCAAATCATCAAAGCAAAGTATCATCAAATCTCCATTCTTAACCGAACATCCATTTGCCCCTCCCGCCATACACCTCCATACACCACACAACCAACATAAACAAATCACCCATCACCCATCGCAGAAACCCATTGCATGCACGCATATCTAACGCTCAACTAACCCATTCCATCCCACCCCTCCCACAAACTCAACATCCACATCGCGATATGATATACCGAACTCCAATCTCCCCTCCCCATACACAATCGATCGAATTACTTAGCACTTGGGCATTTCTGCAAACACAAAGATTGATTAGCCTGTTATCCATATCCATCCATCCATCCTACCATCTATCTCCCCTCCCCTCTCCTCAAAACCGTACCTTTCCACAGCTACAAACATAAGTATCCTTATCCGCGCCCTCTGGATACGCAACACCGCAGCTACATGCCAAACCGCCTTGGTTAACGAAGATTTGAAGACCTTGCATATTGTTCTTGTTCCTGTTCTTGTTCTTGGTATTACTATTGAGTTTCGATTTCGTGTGTGTGTGTGTGTGCTTCTTAACAGGTGGGTAGGCAGGTGGGTATGTAGATAGATAGGTAGCTATTCGTAGAATACAGAAGTTTTTGATATCAAAACAAGATGTACAGTTTAGAAGAAAGATAGCAAGATATATCTATAGATTCCGTCACAATAGATAGATAAATAAATACACTTCTCCTTCCTCCGAAGAAAACGCAACCACCAATAGCAACAAGAAAGAGGGGCAAGCAATCATGCAAGCATCCAACCCTTCCTCCCCCTCCCAAACAAAATTCACCGAATCTCTCTCATCCAATCTCACCCCTCCTCCTCCCTCTCACATCCCCACGTACTCTAACATACTTCCGTAGATAACACATCCCTTTCCCCATCCCATCTATACCCTATCTACCTAGTGCCAACCTAGTCAACCCCCCCTCAACCAATCACCACACCCCTCTTACCAAACCTCAAATTCTCACCTACCCCCCGCATCCAGACAGTAATAAGATCACCGTCTCCGTAGGGAGGGATCTCACACATAATCGTGTGATAAGAAATCTCAGATACGTACAACGAGGCCAACCAATCCCAACATCACACATTTTTCCTCATTTGACCCATCCACGTAATTTATGCATATGCGTGCCTCGTGACCAAAGTTGAATGAATGCGCTTTATGCAAGCCAATCACTCATTCGACCGCCCGATATCCGATAGAAGCACGCACGTGCCCGTTTGGCATTTGGTCTCGGCGGAATGTAATCTAACACGAAGTAATGTTGCACGAGAATGAGATTTCCACGGAGAAGTCTACGGGGCTCGGAGAGCCTTACTAGGCATTCTTATTCCTACCTCTGTGTTGTAATCGGACTAAATGTGATACAGACAAGGCAGAAGGACTGGGCAGACATTGTTGCAAGGCTATATGGAATGATTTTGAGGCAGTGAATGTGTAAAATACGAATCAATAAGGTCCTAATGTAGCAATTTGGCATTCGAAGCAGATGGTAACATTTGTAACAATCAGCATCCAAGGAAAAGGAGAATCAACCTCGCAAGTTAAATACCATCCTCTTGAATATGAGAAAAGTCACAATTTCAGTAGTAGAAGCCCTCCCGTCCCCATTGCATATCGAAATAATTGCTCTCTTTCCACAACAGTGTAGGAGAGGAGAATAGTAAGTTAAGTTGTAAAGGAAAAAAATCCATGTAATAAGCGAGGGTTTTCCTGTCCCTTCAATAAATCAACAACACCCTCTAACGCCTGAAAACCAATCCTCGCACAAGAGCGAGGAAAGAGGTATTACGCCCTCCACCTGCAATAGCTGCGCCATTGATCCCACGATGATGTTCCAAATGTTGATAATTTCCCCCCTTTCCATGCATAGCAGTTGTCGTAGGAGATTTCCTCGTTGTAATTGGTGCAGATTGTGTTCGTCGTGTTTTCTTGTTCCTAACATCCTTCGATGGCAAAACATTTCCAACCCTGGATGACGGGCCCCTAGACGCTGTAGACTCCATATTAGATACAGTGTTTGGGCGAATTAGGGGCCCGTCAGATTGTTATTCGATATTGTTCGCGGTCTTCAGCTGTTCTAAACTCGCTTTGCGAGCAGCGTATGAATCCGATTGATTTGAGTTGGCACGCATCTTTTCCATTTTCTCGGGTTGGTGGTAGAGAACTGTTTATCCAAGTGTTAGTACAGGAAAGTTTGATTGAAATAGAGACGTGGAGCGCAAACCTACCGACTAGGTATCGATTTTGGAAATTGAACCCATTCAATTTATCGCAGGCAGTCTTAGAATCTGTTACGTCTTCGTAGACAACAAATGCCGTACCCTTCGTGTTGGTAGCAATACCTTGACGAATTTGTCTGGCGCATTGTCAGTAAATTCTCCAAGCGCGGGCAAGTTCATCTCGATAGAGGTTCTTGATGTAGGTCTCGCCCGAGATTGCAGCTTCCCTTCCAATATACATACCGGATCGCACCGAACTTGCCAAACAAATCAAAGAGTTCCTCCGGCGTTACGTTGTAGCTATTATTCCAAATATCATCAGCCCTATGAACCTCAATCTGGTTTCCATGTACACCAAATCCACAACCCCATCTCCAAGTCTCCACATCTGCTCTTTCCTGCATCAATCCACATACCTTAGATTCTTGACGAACAAAGCTCTGCATTCAGTACATATATTAGCTATGGATCCTAACATCTAGCAATGAAGAGCAGGCGCACGCGACCAAGTGCAGGTACAATGAACAATAAATCCGGAGAAACATACCGATTAACTTCAGGAGCAAGTTTACCACCTCGATTCATAGCTTGGCTACAAATTCTCTTCTTTCAAACGTTACTTCCGCTTGTCAATTTCTAGTATTCTTTTGATTATTGGAGTTAAGTTGCTGCGAAAAAAAGGTCGTAGTATGGTGTATGTAACCGGAGGGGCGCACAGGTGGAAGCAAGCCTTCTTTTGTTCGTTGAAGGCTCAGGATTCGCGCTAGATTATATTGAGACTAGCGTTACTACTGCCTCAGAAATTTTTGGAGTCGGTGAGATCTTGATAAGATTAGATCTTATTGTTACCTGCTAGGTACGTAGGAAGGTAGGTACGATTTAGAATTGATATGGATTAAAAGCTTTGAACTTCAAAAAGCTGGAATTGTTCTACTTATTTATTAAAGAAATGAAAGAGAAGGATCAGATTATTTCTTCTCTTCGTTGGCTGTGTCTATGGCCTTCGAATTAGCCTTTCGTATAGCTATTGATTAGGCCATCCGCCACATTGCTTGACTTGCTCTGAAAGGGTACTGACTTTACACCGATACCTATCATTCACATTCAAAGCCTTGACGTTATTAACAATTATTTGTTTGCAGCTACTTATTAGGTAGTATTGACGATTCTAATTTTCTATGTGTTACACCTGCAATATATATCTCATCTCTACGTGCATGTTGTCGATAGACTTCGAATGAACACTGAAGTGTTATCAATGGCATCTCTCTTCACAATCGTGTATAGACTTGCCACTCGAGTTGTCGCCCCTTACCAAGGATAACCCTTTAATTCACATGATCAGTGACGGCAACGATTGCCTTCAGATGTGTAGATTTCGCTCAGCCTGAGCTTTACAATCAAATTCTCATATCGTGAATACAAGGAAAGTAGCATCGCATGTGCCCACGCAGAGAACCTGTCCGGTGCATCATGGGCCATTTCAAGCCAATATTTGATGTCACAACAGATCATGATAAGACCTTGAAGAAGATCAACAGTGGTACTGCATATGTATGCATTTACCATGTTATATATATTTCTTTGAAATCACCCTTCCCCTCTAGAGTTCCATTTTTCTGATATCCACTTATGTGCAGTGACTTCCCCTTGTCAACTGTAACTTTTGTTCCCGTGATAGTGAATCGTCTCTCTCCAGGAACCCATCCATTCTCATCAGCCCATTCTTCTTCTACATCTCTCGTAAACGCAGTTACTCGTGAACAGGCATCCGAATCCCAAATGCCTTCTCGGTAACCTTTAGCTTCCCTGAGAATATCAATTGCTTGACCTCTTAACTCTCGATTTCGGCAATGTGTTCCAACCATAAACATCGGAAGTATTACGCCAAAGTCGAAGTGATATTTCCCCTCTCCTTGGATGATACGCGGTCGGAGCTTGGTTACATATTCCATGATTGTACCAAACTCCTGAGAATATGCGTCCCATTCGATTGCGTTGACAATGAACACACTTGATACTTGTATCATCATCATAGCCGTCTGTATTTTCGCAAGGCATGCCGCTAAGAATTCTCGGGAATCTTCGGCAGCGTGTAGTCCTTTCTTTACTAATGGTTCCGCAATACTTTCCCATCGCAAAATGTCATTAAGATATGTGGTGCAATCTCGTCTAAGGGTCATATTAGTACTAGGTATGACCGCAACAGAGGTCCATGAGCAGTTCTCATCTTTGAGATCTAGCCCTTCATCGTCGGCTGCATAGACAACGACTTCTTCTTCATCCTTCGGCCGCTCTTCGAGAATGGTTTTTCTTGCTGTAGCTATCCAATGAAAGTTTCTCCGCATTATTATCTGCCACCAGTCATGACTTTCTTTGATACTTGAGAACGAAGAGGGCATTGATCGCAACAAATGATTTAAATCACGAGTTCGTCGCTCGTGGAGCTTTGAAGACCGACGATCAATCACGCATAGTGCCTGAAGGTCGAGATCTGAGAAGGCTCTGCATAGATCATCGTCAATTGTAGAATCTTGCTGACAGCTGAAGGGCGATAGGCTCTTGGATTTCTTGTCGAGCATAATCTCATGGAGAAGATTTTCTCCACTGGCAGCATGGGAAGCCGCCGTTGCGAGATGTCCCTGTATACTTTCGATTGAATACACGAGTAGACAAGCAATGAGCGCTTTGCGAGCATTGTAAGAGCTTGGGTTCAGAGCTTGTCTCATTCCGACGAGAGCTTTACCATACTGATCAAGGCCATACTGACGGTGTAGGAATGCCTCTATACCATTCGATGTGCGACCTTTACTAAATGCCCCAAGGGCAATTAGAGCTTGGCTAACGAAGGGTTCGGATTCGCTTGCCTGGGGAATCAGTCGCTCCCAGACTGATCGATTAAATAATCTCGCGATATCACCAGCCGATGTTTCGCGGAAGTATTGAAAATATCGAGAATCTTGTTCATTTTCTAGGATAGGACCGATGTGTATATTGACCATAGGTGATCGTGATTGCGGGGGAGATTCTACTATGGACGCTCGATTCGTTGACTCCCGCGATGATCGTTGGACGACGTGTGATGGATACCCCTCACATTGAATTCCAGTCTTCTTACATCGTTTGCAAGAAGGTTTCGTTTCCTGTTGTTCGTCAACACATGTCTTGTAATGTACTTGTGGATTGCCCCCGTGTTTCTAGGGCAATTAGTCGACAAAGTAATACATACATCGCATTTGACTCGGCGTACTCTAGAGATTTTGATAATCAGCTCGTGCTAGTATGGCATATAATCGTATGATGTTGTAACATTGAGATAAGACTTGCATACTTGCATGTATAGCATCCCGTCTTGACCTTTTGGTGTTTCACCCGCGACTTCCTGGAAGCCTCACTTTCAAAGGGAGCATTGTCTGCCTCCACAGTTTTAATAAGGTGTTTCTCATCTAATGGTGGAATTGTCATGAACTTTGAAAGTCGAAAAGGCTTCATGATTGCTATTCTTGCATTGCAACATCATCATCATGGGCAACATATATCCTTGTATCCAGTGTAGGATCTTATACGAAGTATTTTAAGTGGTGTGCTTGTCGTTAAGCCGCCTGAAATTCCTGGTGGGTCTTTTCTCAATTGGTGGTAGTCGCACAGCAGGTCAATAGGGGTGGTATGGACAAGATTTGTATCAATTGATATAAAAACCAGCAAGTCAATAAATCAATGTATGTGTTGAACTGGACTCAATTCCTGGGATTCATGGAGAGTACTGGTACAATGCCAAAGAAGGAAGCGGAATGTGTCGTCTCTTGCTAGGGCCATTGGTTTACCCTAGTGTTTTCTAACGAACGCCGCTAAGATTTAGTACCTACATACTAGGTGTGCTTATCATTCTGACATGCTACAACATCAAACCTGTTGGTCAATATAAGAATGTCCTCTCCACCATGGAATCAACATTACATACAATATACAATACAGTCTTGAGAACATGATCCTCAGGTTGAAACTCGCTAGTTATCTTCTTTTTATCGGTACCAATTCAGCGTTCTGATGATTTCCAGTCACGACAACATTCTCATTTTGAGACTGCACGCTCTGCCGATAACATTTACCATGGCCCTCATGGGTGAAGTATAGAGTGTAAGCACAAGTCAGTGGGATAATATGCTTATACCCTCCTCATGTACCTAGTATAGTCAGCATGATCATCTGCTTCCTTTCTGTGATTAGTAAGGAAACAAAATAGCACATGGCCATGAATGTTGCTACTCAGATCACAGTGGCTATCCGTGTTAAGAAAGAGACAGTCATATACAATTCTGCTTGTGATGTTGTATCTCTCACTCTCTTTCTGCATCTCTCCGGTTTCTTGGAAATCCAAAAAGATCAGGAACATGTGAAAGAGAGGCATACCAAAGAGATCAATTCCGACGTGCTTGCAGGAAGTTTTCTGACCTCTTTTCCACAACATCACCAGTTTGGACAGATGGGCAGAGGAATAGATTTACTCTGTCTATATCATGACTGCGCTTGGAATGTGAACGACGGTTTCTTTTTCAACTACCGATTCAGTGCTTCACGTTAGAAACGAGATTCCTTGTGCGTTCACTTTTGAGGTAGGTATGGGATTCATTTTTATATACCAACGAGTTACCTATAGTAAGTAGATAAAAATGAATTGGATCTTTCAATAACTTGATGCCTATCATTACCATCAAGTTGCTCCTCAAGTTATATCTCATTGAAAATGGAGTTCCTCTCAGAGGGTGGCAATCCATTCCTTCCCTTAACCTCTCGACATTGCTTTTGGACTAATCCTTCTTGTCAACGAGTTGCCAATAAGACAACTATCAAAAACACCACCGAAGAAAAGCTTTTTCATCGTGGAATGAAAAATACTGGTTGTCGCACTCACAACAACCTGGACAACAACAGCATGATATCAAGGATATTACGGACAATCAAACGTTGTATTTTCTAAGAGAGGATATTATACCTGCTCATGTACGCAGATTGAAAGGTGTGCAAGAAGCCTGGATCGAAACCACCAAAGTTTCTTTCGCACGATTTTCAGACCTACCACCTGAGTTGCGGATTCTTCTATGGACGCTCTGCTGTTACATGCATGGACGAATTGTCTTTTGTGAGAGGGGGATTGGTATTCGTAATTTTTACCTCAAAGGTGTTCGCCCGAATCCTGGTATCATTGCTGCTTGTGTGGAGTCAAGAGCCGTTGCCTTGGAGTGCTACTACGCTTCGAAGCGGAGCAAACCCACCGTAAATTTCAATCCAAGAGGCAATGATACTATGTACGAGCAAGTGAGATTCTGTCGGATCTCTATTGGCGCGCACCTCACACGTCTCGCGATAAACTGTCGCAGTCTTCCCATTTACAAAGGGTCCCCGAACAGGATAACTCGGATCAGTAAGGAAAGTTATCGAAAGCTTTTCTGATCCCGTGGTGTGACACATCTGAGAGAAATACTCGTAGTCATTGAGCCGTGTCGTTGGAAGTCGCTAGACTTGATAGGGTTTAGAGACACACAAGATTCACACTTGGAAGGGTCATATGGCCATGGAATTATGGATTATTGCAAGTTTTTCCGATCTACCGGTTTCAATACTATATTTGAAGCGACTGATAATGTTCGACGGTCTACAAGAGTGCACCAGAACGGTTGTCTATATTGTCTACGTTGCATGAAACCAGGTGATTACTATTTTACCACCAACGACTTCCACGAATTTGAAAGCTGCCGCAAACGCTACACAAAAGCAGATCGCGACTTTGAACAACAAGAAGGTTTCCCAAACTTACGGTTTGTCGAAGAAATTTTTACTCTGGGTCTTCCGGTCCTCAGATATAAGGAATTCAATCAATAATTGGTATGTTTACACTATTCTTCATTGTCTTCGCTTGTCTCCGTCATTTAACTTATATATTAGCATCTGAATCACAATTCTACCGAAGTAACTCATCAATTACATCAGAAGTAGCCTGGTAGCATTATGTTCACGCGATTAAATGAGCGAAACGAATCGTGCATCAATACATTCCTAAGCATTCAAGCAAACGAGTTTGTTTGATGATAGTCGTATAAAGTGGGAGCTGGAGAGAATACTGGTCGGAAAATTGGGTGTATTATTTTTCTTCATCAAGAGCTTTAGTTTGCTTGTTTACTTCATATCATCAGTGGGTGCACGAACTTATGGGAAATTGCGAAATTGACTTTGTGATATCTCATGAAGTATCGATGCAAGTACTTTGAGATATGATGCAATGTTTTATTACGGATGGAATAACGCAAACATGGGTTCTGATATCAAATAATACGAGGAAAAATTTGTTATAACTCTTGAAAGTTGAGAAATGTCTCATCATTCCACGCACTCACTGATGTATCATCCATTTACATCGTCATCAACTCAAAGTGCTGCTTTCCACAATTTCATGCATCATATGTACATCCAAAAACTACGCTTTTTGCTCTTCTACCATGATAAACTCTGCGATCTGATCTCGATACTTGAGTGGGTAGTTATTATTACATGGTCCATTGGCTTTTGAAATTCTCGTAGCGATATCAACGTGAAATGCACATTTTCTTTCTATCTCATCGCTATTCCACATCTCACATCTCCATTCCCTGAAATATCAAACCATCATTATCCTATATCATTAATCGATGCACACTAAACAAACTCCACAACCTCTCACAACCCCCCGCCCCCCGACCAAAAATTAATATCTCTCCAACCCTCAATCCAACCAACCCTGACTGTGAAAAATCTCTCCAACAACCAACTCTATCGGCCGATATCACGACCTTAGGCGGCGATTCAATATCTCCAATATATGGATGTAGACTCTTGCCTCCACTCCCATGCTCCATCCCCTTTTTAATAGTTTTTTCTTTTCGTCCCAAAACGAAACGTAAGAAGATAAAGAAGACAAGAAGAATGCCAGGTAGTACCATCTCTAGTCTTTCATCGTCTTCTCCATCCTCATTTTCGCGAGATAAGAGGAGTAGAACTGCGAGTTCGGTGGGGTCGGTGACTTCGGGTGGAAGACCGAGAGGGTATAGAGGGGGTGGTCATCCTCATCATCGAGTATGTTTATATTGTCTGTGTGGGATTGTGGATATTGTGCTAATGATATTGATAGAGCGCGATACCGGCAGTTGTGAAAGAAGTTGGGAAGGATGTACGTGAGGAGGATAGTGAAGATGAAGATGTAAATGAAAGGGGAGAGAATGAGGAAGATGAGGATGGAGAAGAGAGCGAGGATGATGAGGATGAGGACGAGGATGATGAGGGTAAAGGACAAAGGAAGCCTTCCCCGAGAAGAGATCGTGTAAGTTATCTACCTCTATTACCTATTTAATTCTCAATACTGGAATGCACATTCTGATATGAATGAAAGACCGAATCTGCTAGTCCAACAAGAAGAAGAAGAAGAAGAAGGAGAAGAGGAAGAAGAGGGACACCGAGTCGCTCATCTAGGCATTCAGCAAATTCCTTTCGAGGATCCCATGGTTTATCGGAAAAGCATGGGAGGGGAAAGAGAAGAGAGGAAAGTAAGAAGAGTAAAAGTATCAGTAAAACTAAAACTAAAAATAGAGAAGGATCGGGGTTTTTGGGAAAGTTGAAGAGCGCATGGGGGAGAGTGATGAGGTCGCCTCGTAGAAAACGAACGGTTTGATTTATTGGGGATAAATGGAGGGTCGGATGGAGTTTGAAAGTTTTATTGTAGAAATTATTGAGCTTACACTATACAACAAGGAGTTTCTGTGATAAAAGGGGGTTATTCGTTTGTATCTCAACATCCGGATATCCACTATATCCGATGACTTTACAAATCTCCATTTCCGCACAAGAACGAAAACCTACAGCCATTCCTATAAAGTACCCATTTATTTCGTCGTGACCCAAGTAAATCAACCACTTGTCTCGTTCATCTAAGAGCAATCATGTTATCTCCAAAATACCTTCGCATTGACGTATTCATTCCAGCTGGATGCCAGCTTCTTGATATGTCAGGTATCGACATTTTTTTCATGCTTTCGCCAGAATACCTTTCAGCATGTGGATTACCGGCCCCATTGGTCGCACTTGGGATTAGTTGTACAATATACTAGATATCCCTTCTGTCCACAGGGTCCGAAGTTGAACTGACAGCCAGCGCTTTCCTTCAAACATCGAAAACTACAACAGACGATGAAGTGCAGCCGGGTATGTTGGATATCGTGATGGTTCCGGGACCAGATCCTAGAATGGTATCAGATCAAGACACCCGATCATTTGAAATCACACGCCGAATGGAGAGGAGAAAATGGAGAAAGCGTTGATATTTTGAGCATCTGTACAGGAATTTTCTTAGTGGCTCAGAGTGAAATTTTGAAAGAATTGAGTGCTGGTGGACCAAGAGCTCTGATTCCACGTTTGAAGGAGGAGTCTCCAGACACAAAATGGGTCGATGACAGGAGGTGGGTTGTAGATGGTAATATTTGGAGTAGTGGTAAGTTTATGATTCGCACATTATGTACGCGCAACTAACACGCAGATAGGTGGTATTACCAAAAGACTAGAGATGATTGCTGCATACATCAGGCAAAAGTTTCCTGGTCCAGCAGCAGAGGTAGTAATCGCAATGGCAGATATCGGAGAGAAAGATGTTTTCATACCAATGGAAATACGAAGGAAACGCTTTGGTGGATGTGGCAGATTTTGAAGGCAGTTGGTCTTGGTATTGGAAAGGACAAGAAAACTTGATGAGAAAGATAGGAATTGTGTCGTATTGTTTGTTACTTGAGTGAAGCGTGTGACAAAACTCGAAGATTTTCATGGTGTTGTACTATTTTGTCATTCCATCCTGTCTTCTGTCAAACGAAGGAAATGACTTCAGAGAGTTAGATTGCGTAAGATGCATACAGGAATTGATTTTTCCAGTGAATGTAACTGTGGGAAGCCTTTTCTTCCTGTGATTGATGTTATTGATATGATTTTGACATAATCGTGACATATACCGAGTTAGTTAGATGTGGTATATATAGTATATACTCGAGTCGAGCGAGTATCGAGGGATATCTGTATCGTATAATATTACCTTTAAAAATCTTACAGTGGAGAGCTATGAGAAAATAAACGTCAATTAACCAAGCGTCAACCAATCAAATTATATCAATTGATGGAGAGTTAACCCTTAATGGGTAATAGTTGTCACACAGTGGATCTCAAATCTCACTAGCGTAGACGGATAAGCTATCTTAGTGTGTTATTATTAGTGTGCCCGCAGAATGAGAAAAAAAAAGTTGTCGGGTATCTTTTCTTCAAGAACTACCTTTTATCAAGACACCGCTCACCAATCTCTTCTTCTAAAATCTCTTCAACTCATCTCAAGATTCTTGTTTACTGTTTTCCTTTTGAAACAGTCCCTTTTCAATCATATCAACATCAATTGAATCATCAATTCATAATTCCTTACAAGATGCCTCTCCTTCCAGGTAAGAAAATAAAAATCATCTCGTCTGCCTTGTTTTGGTCTTGCGAGAATATTCATCTAACTTTCCGCTACAGTCGCTATGTACGGCCTCGAGGTCCCAGCAGGAGATATTCTCATCCCTGCTGTTCCAGATTTCCCAGCTACCGTAAGTCTCATACTGTTTTCTACTACATTGACGTTGCTGTTCCTATTCCTGTCCTACCTAGCAGGCTTCAATGGAAAATACAAACATTGACAATTGCAATCTCTAGTTCCGCATTACCATGGCAGCAATTGACCCCACTGAACCTGCCGATGATGCTGAAGGTGTCAAGCCTAGATCAACCTTAAAGGTCATTCGTCAATCGAGTGCTGAGGATGAAGAAGAAGACAGTGAAGATGATGATGAAGGTTCGGATGATTTATTACGTGCTTTGTTGGCAGATAATGACTCTGGATCAGATGAGGATAGCGAGGACGACGAAGAAGCCAACGGAGGACCAAGCGACCCCTCCAAGTCCAAGAAAGCCCAAAAGCAAGCTGCTCTTAAGGAACTTCTTGCTTCCATCGGCAAAGACGACTCCGACGAAGAAATGGAGGACGCTTCCGACAAGAAGAAGGTCGCCAAGAAAGGAAAGGCAAAGGCCACCGCCGAGGTCGAGGAGGAGAGCGACGAAGAGAGTGAGGATGGTGAGGGTGTTGAGGTTGAGGAATATGTTCTCTGCACTCTTGACCCAGAAAATGTATGTGCCAAACACCCCGCTTATGATAAAATCATGCTGACCATAATATAGCACTATCAACAACCTCTCGACATCACCATTGGCGAGGACGAGACCGTTTTCTTCAAGGTCACTGGTACCCACACAATCTACCTCACTGGTAACTACGTGATCCCAGATGATAACGGACACAACCACCACCACGAGGTTTACGACTCTGATGAGGAAGACGATGAGGACTATGACCTCTCTCCAGATGAGGATGAACTCGAACTCGAGATGGACTCGGATGAGAGCGATGAACTCGATGGTGCCCGCATTACCGAGGTCGAGTCCGAGGACGAGGAAGCCCCAAAACTTGTCAAGGCCGACAAGAAGGGCAAGAACAAGCGCTCTGCCGATGAAATCGAGGAGGCCGCATCCCTCGATTCAATTATGGCCAAGGCTGCTGACTCTGAGGAGCCAAAGCTTAGCAAGAAGCAACAAAAGAAGTTGAAGAAGAACAATGGCGAGGCTGCCCCAGCCAAGGCAGAAGAGGTCAAGAAGGATGCCGCTAAGGATGAGAAGAAGGTTCAATTCGCTAAGAATCTCGAGCAAGGACCAACTGGATCTGCCGCAGCTAAGGTAGACCCCAAGAAACCTGCATTGGGCGTCAAGACTGTCGACGGAGTAAAGATCGATGACAAGAAGCTTGGTTCCGGACCAGTTGCCAAGAAGGGTAACAGAGTTGGCATGCGTTACATCGGAAAGTTCACTGATGGCAAAGTCTTTGACTGTAAGTTTATACCCTTCAAATTTTCCTAGAGCTTTCTAATCTTTGAAATTTAGCAAACAAGAAGGGCAAGCCTTTCTCTTTCAAGCTCGGTGCCGGCGAGGTCATCAAGGGCTGGGACATCGGTGTTGCTGGTATGTCAGTCGGCGGAGAGCGTAGATTGACAATTCCAGCACACCTTGCATACGGCAGCAAGGGTGTCCCTGGTATCCCAGGTAACTCCACCTTGACTTTCGATGTCAAGCTCCTTGAGATCAAGTAAACGCCATCGTCATTTGTATAAGAAAGTCTCAATCGGTTCAGAAGTGTGTTCTGGAATGATTCGAGGCTGATGGTCACTTTGATTTTCATATTTATTGTACAATTTTCTCTTTACTTTCATGTATCTCCTTGCTGTTTGCGATTTCATGATATTTTCATGATATGTCAATCAGCGATGTAATGTTTTTGCATAAGTCTCCGACCTGAGCAGTTCTCTGTTTAAACAGGAAGTAGACTACGCAAAATGGGATGATGAGATTTGCATAGCACTACAGGCGTATTTTCAAAAAGTTCGAATAGGTTTTCAACACAGGGGATTGTGCTTTAATCGGTTATCTCATAATAAACAAAAACTACCATACCAATGCAATATCGCCCTTGCCCAATGATATCTGATGGTGATGCCTTCCCTTGTTGAGCACAGAATCTCTCCATGGGTAGGAGCTCTCATAGCAAATGATAGACACAAAATATTACTTCTCGTTCTTCTCAATCTTGTAACCTTCATCAGTATCAACATTCTTTGTCAATCATTTGTATGCTGTTTAGCAGTTCCATTCTTACATTTTAGTATCGATAATCATTTATCTAACCCTTGAGAGGATCCACGACAATGAAAAGAACTCGCACCGGCCCTGCACTCGATCCCAATGCAGTAGACCAAGCTGGCCCGCCTCCTCGATTGGAGAAGCCTCTGTTTCTCGAAACTGTTACTCAATTGAACTCAGTATCTCCTCCACATTCTCCCACACATTATATTCATAGACCTTCAAAGTTTCGACGCCAAGGGTCAAAGATTCTCTCAGTTTTACGTTCGTTAACCAACAATAGTAAGTGATTTCTTCTCTGTTTGTCTCCGATTTATAGCTTGCATATTCTAACCATTGATTGGAAATGTTAGGCTCAAGTATAGCTTTAGAGGATGATTATGCACCGTTATCACCTCCTCCCGAATCTGTCGCTCTTGGCAAGAAAATCTCCATGGCCTTACTCAAAGCTCCACCCACAATCGTTCATCGTACACAGTTCAAGAGTAGACCTAGTTTGATCTCTCTTGATAAAGGTGTTCTGGATTTCATGCCCGATGCTCCTACTCCTCCATCGAGTGCAGAATCTGCAAGCAATAGTGGAAAATCGTCTGGTCCTGATGCTAAGCAATCGACTCAAAAAACTTCCCTCGAATCAAAATTCTCGCAGAAATCTGTGGGTGTCTCGCATCACTCTTTGGAGAATAAGAAGATCATGCCGAAGAATATGAATCAAGCAGAGGTTAGCTCTGCGGAGGGTGCCCTGGCATCGATTACTGAAGGTGATAATGTTGAATGTCCACAGCCAGTTCCAAGTATGTTTCTCCGCTTACTCTATAGCATAATTACAACTAATAATTTGCAGCTGTGATCACCGTCGAAAAGGCAGCTTCTGCAAAAGTTTTCTTTGAAACTTATTACAATCAGTTTACTTCCAAAGCAATCACACCTCGATCTCTCCGTCGCTTAAATCTAGAGAATGAGCTTCTGAATGATATGATCTCTACCCCGACAGACAAAGCCGAAAGACTTCAAGCATTGGCTACAGCAGAGACGAATCATCTCAGACAGATGAGAAATATGAAGGTGCGCAGTACCAATGCTTTGAAGGGTAGAGATCATAAAACTTCAAACTATGAGGTGGTTAAGGTTCTTGGAAAGGGTAGTTTTGGTGTTGTGAGATTAGTTAGAGAGAAGTGGGCTCCAGGTGCTAAGGAGTAAGTTTGAATGTTTTGGTTTATTTTTTGATGGAGATGGTTGACTGATGATGGATAGATCGGAACCAAGTAAGCGTATCTACGCTATGAAAGTGATCAAGAAATCGGATATGCTCAGAAATAGTCAAGAAGGTCATCTGAGAGCTGAGCGTGACTTTCTCGTTGCTGCCGAGGGATCTAGATGGTGAGTGGAGGTAATGACATCTCTATTGAAGATACTAATCAACTTGAATAGGGTCGTTCCTTTGATTACCAGTTTCCAAGATCTCAACAACTTGTACCTCGTTATGGATTACATGCCAGGGGGGAGACTTCCTTGGCCTCCTCATTCGTGACAATGTTCTCTCTGAGTCCGTCACAAAATGGTATATTGCCGAAATGATCCTCTGCATCGAAGAAGCCCATGCTCTTCGCTGGATCCATCGTGATATTAAACCAGACAATTTCTTAATATCTGCGTCTGGTCATCTCAAGATCTCTGATTTCGGATTAGCGTTTGATGGACATTGGTCTCATGATCAAGCTTACTTTCACAATCACAGGTATTCGCTTCTGAATAAACTTGGAATTACTGTTGAGGGAGATTCTCTCGATAAAAAGGAAGGAAGGAGTGTAGCTGCGGCGATGAAAATGGCTCATGTGATGATGGGTGGAAAAGAGCGACATGAGAAGAATTCGGATAATGCGTCGGAATCAGAGAGTATTCTTAATTGGCGCAATCGTTTTGGAAACAGAACACTGGCGAGATCAGTGGTAGGTACGAGTCAGTATATGGCGCCAGAAGTGGTGAGAGGGGAATTGTATGATGCTAGATGTGATTGGTGGAGTGTTGCTGTTATTCTTTATGAGGTGAGCTACTAGTTCTTATATCTTTTACGAAGGAGTTGATGCTGATGTGATCATAGTGTCTTTACGGACATACACCTTTCCTTGCAGAGGAAGGTGGAAGACAACAAACAAAGATGAATATCCTGAATCACAAAACCACATTCCAATTCCCGTCGCGTCCATCTGTTAGCAGAAGATGCCAAGATCTCATCCGCAGCATCATTCAAGAAAAAGACCATCGTCTCTGCAGTCGCCGCTACAAATCTCGAGACACAACACTCGGCTCCGTATCCTCTCGTCGAAACCTCGATTACGCCGGTCGTTACGTCTACCCCAATGATGCCGAAGATATCAAAGCGCATAAATGGTTCCGCGATATTCAATGGGATCGCATTCATTTGATGCCTCCTCCTTTTATCCCCAACATCAAATCAATGGATGATACGCATTATTTTGACGAGGAAGAACCCATTTCTGATTTCTCGGAAAGTGTGGCGAGTGTGCAGCCGACGGTTCACCAGATTGCTGATGCGCTTAAACCGTTCAATCGCGAGATTCAAATTCTGGCGACGGGGTTTATAGAGAGACCGCACGATACGGTGAGGTTGAAGAGGGTGGAGAAGGAGATTGATCAGTTTGCGATGAGGAATGAGGATAAGGAGTATCTCAAGAGATTTGTGAGGACGTTTGGGAAGAAGGAGAGGAAGAGACCGAGGGATAGGTTGTTGAGAGATAAGGAGATTGCGCCGAAGATTCTGGAGTTGAGGAAGAAAGGGGCGTTTTTGGGGTATACGTATCGGAGGATTGATATGGGGATGGGAGCGAGTGGGAGTGGGAGTGGAAGGGGAGTGGTGGCGGCGGGAAGCTGGAGGCCGAATGTTTGGCATCGGGCTAGGTTGAGTGTTCATTGATAGATTGTTTTAACTTGTGTGGGATTATGGGGGGGGTGGGGGTATGTGAGTTTCGGTGAGAAGTTTTGGGAGACTGAGGGTCATGATGAGGAGATGGATGAATGTTTGAATGGTGTCTGGTTTAACTTGGCGTTGGGCTGGGCCGAGATGTTATTACTAGGATTGACTTTTGTATTGGTTTTACAGATACTGTACACATTCGTTTATTAATCTTTTTTCTTTCGCTGTTGATTTGACTTGATCCTTTTCTTTTCTTCCAATGTGACTTGAATTGGCTCTTGATCGTGTTCCTAATTTGTGTGTATTTCTTCACAGTGGAGGTTAAATAGGCTAGTGAAAACTAAATGAGGGACTTAAAAATAGGAGGTATAATAATGTATAAATGGTCATTTTTCCTCTCTGATTTGTTTGCTTGTGATCTGATATTGAGCAGCATGAAAGATAAGTATACTTGGATATGTACCCCACCTACACAGAAGAGGCATGATATATATATGTAAATGAATGAGAAAGGGTTGAACGAGCCGAGTTTTTATTTTTGTAGATAAGAGACAAGTGGAGGGGGGTGAGAAAGGTGATGATATATTCAATTGTTTGTATTTAGCATAGAGAAGACAGAGGGTGATAAAAATGATTTATGGAAAGAAAGTACAATTTGATAAGATTTAAAGATAGTATGGGGGTATATAACTGTAGTATATAATATGAAGAAACATCGCATATCCTATCATCATTCCGCCGAACTCCAAAGGCGATTCTAGGAAAGAAGGATATTAAGAAATTGACCTATGGCGGAGACTCATACACGATTTGCAATTTGATAAACGGATGTCTTTATATCGTTATCCTTGTCATCGATGGGATAATAGTCAGTGTTGTCGACGGATTTTTCATCAGGGTTTTGGGGGTGTGGAGAGCTAGAACGATTCGAGTTTTCAGAAAGCTCGCAGACGTAGTGGTTTAGGAGGAGACGATGGTTGAGGAGAGATTGGAAGTCTGCTCCACGGGCGGCGTTGGCGATGTTATGAGCTTGAATGAGGATGAGAAGGAGAAATCCTTCAATGATCTGGAGATTATGTTAGTATAGAGGTTATGATAGGTGGAATATAACGGTCAAGGCAGGCTATGGAAAGTGAAAGATTAAACGTACCATAGTTGGTATATTGCATAGAAGTTGACCAGTCTCAGACCATTTCATTATAGACGCAATGGCAAGTAATGCAAACACAACATCGACAGATGCGACGCTCACACCCGATAATGCGCAGAACTCTCCTGCTGCGGCAAATGCTCTTGTGCTAAAGTTTCTTGGCTTGGTAGGGGTTTGGTGTGGAGACGGGACATTGAGTAAATCTAATAATCGATCATCACTTTCGGCAATCTTCTCGAATTGTGCTTCTGCGACTTTCTCGTCCCGATAATAAACATTCCGAAGTACAAAACCGTCGATAAAACCCACAAGGCCGGTAAAGGTACCGATGATTAACCACCAGTTATCGTTAAACTCGAGGATAGGACCGACAGCTATCCAGACAATCGTTACGATCAAAGTGATCAATAGCCCCACGCCCGAGCCCATAACATCTGCAAAAATGTCGATAGATCTTTCAATCCGGTTGATGGTAGGAGCAGGGATCTCGAATACTGGGTTAGGTCGGTAATCATTTGTAATTGCTCCCAATCGCCACTCAACCTCGGAATCGACTCTTAGAGCATACTCAAGGGATTGCTCAAGATTATCCTCTTGCTGCTGTTGTATATTTTGCAAGAAGATGGAAGCAAAGGTCAAGGCAACTGCAGTAGCTGTATTGACATGTAACTGCCAAGTATCGCTGAATTGGAACAGAGGGCCAATGCCAACCCAAAAGAATATACCGATCCAGTAGAGGATATATGCCCAGATGGAACCAAGGCCTCTAGCAACAGTTTTGCAAGTGATGTTCCACAAATAGCGTGCTTTTGATATATCTCCACCGCTACTTGTAAATAGAATATCATCGGCGTTGGATTCAATAGGTTTATCATCTTTGAGTAATTTCTGAGCCGGGCTCTTGTGGGTTTCCATCGACTGGCAGCTAGATAATTGACGGAGAAGGCGCTCAGAAGTCTGATTACGGGACTGGAGTTCAGCGAGAGTGGTTAGAAGAGAATTCGAGGCGTTGGAAGCCTGTCTAAGGAGCAGGATACCCGTCAAGTAGACTTGAATGGAAGATGCATTTTGCATGACGATTTGCCAGGTATCGGTCGTGCCATCAACGAAACCAAATATGACCCAAGCAAGCATGATAGCCATCATTGCTACAAAAACCCAGTTTGAACCAGCAGCTTTCGTGACGATGTCCAATATGTTCCTTCTCGGTTTAGAGATGACATCTTTAGTTGTGATTAAGATTGGCTCTCTCTTGTCATTTGATGAAGGTCGCCCAGCGGCGTTTTTTGGTTCAGGATGGGAAGTTTGAGATATAGCTGCGGCTCGAATTGATTGTTTCGCGGGTGAAATGAAGTCTTTACACTTCTGCCAAGCTGACGGGAAAGTCATGTTTACTGTATTATATGTTCTAGAGCAACATCAAGTTTCATAAAATAGACTATAATTAATGAAGCAGGATAATAAAAGAAAAAGACAGAGGTTGAAGCCAGCTTGGAAAAGGACCAGAAATTAGATTCAGCCAAGATGCATAAGACTTATACTAGATATGGGGTACCAGGATAGGGTAAAATTGAAGTGTGGAGAGTCACTAGGCCCAATCTAATACTACTTGCGTTCCCTCCAACAATTTGGGATAAGCGAAAAAGATAGTCGGCGTACTGCTCACATTTCTTACAATACTTGTCAGTTGTGCTTCTGAAATCGAATATTCAAAACACTAGTGTTGTGAGAATCATACAAATTATCAATTGCTAGTTGAGTATGATGCGATGGGGGGATCTGAATGGTGCCAAAATTTGACAGCTAAAAGAACAGAAATACTGATAATTCAAAGGTCCAGATTTGAAGCAGCTTGAGGGTTGGTGTACAGTGATGAAACAAAATGGAAAGATAGGCTCCACTTTAGTGAAGAACAACATGTGGCCATGACTTGGGGGGAAAGAAGCAAATCCGGCAACAAAACGCCCAAGAATTAGCTTGCGTGATCCCGTTTCAGACTCAAGATCCAGTCAACAGGCATGAAAATTAAACAGGGCTGAAATTGTGTGAACTACATTGTAAGTCCCACTACTGCGGGTGGCTTGGTGTTCCCGATCTTTCAACGTCTGCGCACCGACTGCCGTAGAAATATTGTGTGGATGGATGCATCCGGGGAACTGCGCTGCCGAGATTGATCCACAATAGTTTCTACATTGCATTGGTAGAACCAGCAAGTCTAAGGCAACTGAATGCATAGTCATTAACTGACTTCGAAGGAAGATCTATTCGCAAGAATGTACGATCGACACGCACTGAAATTGATCATCCATAATACAGTAGCACGCCTACTTAGGGACATGGGCTTTTGAATGCTTGAACCATTCTGGGGATGTCATCAAAGCGCCTTGCAGTGATACGCTAATATGACAGCGGCAGCTTCAGTCGCTAAGAAGGTCTATTAATGCAAAACATAACTCACTGAGAACATCTGTTGCGACTCCGAATTATAAACTGTGGCGCCTTTTCGCAGAGGATGAGTGCATCTGGTGACAAGGATTTGGGGACTCACTCAATCGCATTGCCACACTTTCCGCACATGTTGAACGTGCAGCTAAGATTGTGTGCGTCTGACAAGTTGTGTGAAAGTAGCCTGTTGATTTCTATCTTTTGATTCACGGATCGATATGGAAAGGGAAATATGCCCAAAGCAAATAATACGATAGCATGGTAAACGCTATCTTGGACCTCGAGCATCCAGAACCATCATAGCTAGCTTTGCGACACAAATATTCAAAGAAATCGTTCGAATGTTGCAAGGTTGGTCTATAGAAAACAAATGATTGCCGATACTAATTTTATAGATGTGACGCCCATATGTTCCAAGAAGCAAACACCACCGATCATGAGATGAATCTGCTCAATGCATTAGGTTTGACGGTGCAAGCAGAGTACGATTGTGAGACGAGCAATTCAACAAGTCACATAAATCTTAGAGATTGTTTTTTCTCTCGTGTGGAATTTGGGTCAAATATCTAGCCAGTGACTTCCTGGTTGTGCATTGAGCCTCAATTGAAACAAATATATGCTGTTGGATGCTGCGGGACATGATGCAGAGCGGCACTTGCTAAACTCAAACATCGGTAGTCTATAGAGACAGCATTGGGCTTTTTCAAGATTAGCCACGCCCCGCCAAGGTTTCTCCAGTATCCTGCAGTCCTACCGGTATTTTGGGATGCTCAGACCTGGGCATCGCATCAGTTGGGTTTAGCATGACGATGGTAGTATTTCGAAACACGAACTAACAATGATGGTATCAAACATCGGATGGAAGAAAAAAAGCATCTAGCTATAGACCGCGAGTATTTTCCGGAATGAGAACAATATTGATGTAATTCTTGCCGAACGCATGGAGAGAAACGAATTTTGGATGAGAAAGCAGTTGAAGCCGGACTCATACTGGGCGCGCTTACATAAGCACAGTGCTAGCCTACTATGGCATGGTACGATGCGAGCAAAGACCTTAACCTTATTCACCAGCAAAATCCAACGCAGATAAATACCTAGTACTGTAGCAGCATCGTCAAATAGGATCTCCGTTGGAGTCTTGCTGTTGTACAGCAGTCATTTTCCTGATTCTCAACGTCTTCGATCGAGGCATTGTAACGTTTCCGGATACTGGGATTTCTCTGGTTTTCAAGAGGTGTTCTGATGGATAATCCTCCTGTCGATGTATCGGGGAAACGAGTCCCTTGGGCCATACAATATAATTTACATTTCGATACATGAGGTTCCGAGACCAAGGCAGACAAAGTTCAATACTTTACTTGATATCACGACTTATGAGTAATGATACACAATGATGATGAATATGCCATGCTTGAGGTTGCAATTCTCGATTGGTAATGAATCAATTGAATTCGCCCATTCCTGGCGAACTAATAACGACTCTCGTGTTTTCTTCCTCATCACAAGCAAGTGTTTGTAGGTCGCTCAAACTTTGATACTTGCTTACCTTACATACAGTCTTGTAGCTTACAAGACCACATTACAATCCCAGCTTTTGCTTTCTTTCCCAAATTGTTTTATACATTAAGCCAAAAGGTGATTAAAGAAGATTTTCTTGTTTACAGTATCCAAATCATGAGGGAAGTTATCGTTCATCCCAGTCCTGAAATCTGGACTGAGATCACTGAGGTAAAAATCCACAGCCTGGGCCCGACGATGTAGTGATCAAAGTTATTGTTGCGGGGAGTAATGTCAGAGGTAAGCAGACTTATTCAACGTGTACTCGAAAAGTAGTAGCTCAGACAGGTATCTACTTTCTACATTGGCTCCTTCTCAAGGCATTGAAGAAGTCACTCAACAGTGGAGATGATATCGCTGGCATCGTTTATTCCATCGGCACGAATATGCAAATAAAGAATGAATACTCTCTCGGAGAGCGTGTTGCTGCATTTCATCCAATGATGGGATCGCATGGAGCTTACGCCGAATATGCTGTTGCCCCAATTCAAACTGTAATGGAACTTCCAGATGCAATAACTTTTGAAGTTCCGTATCAAATCGACGACTGTTGTCGTTCTCTGATTGTTTCTTAGAAGCCGCGACCATTCCACTAGTTGCCACAACGGCTGCACTTTCTCTGTTTCGCCGTCAGCATTTGCCGCCTCCATGGTCACCAAGGGCCGATAGTGTGCCTCTTCCGCTCATCATCTATGGTGCATCTTCTTCCCTTGGTACATTTGCAATCAAACTAGCTCGCGCCTCGAACATCCACCCAATTATTGCTACCGCAGATGGCAGTTCTTGTCATTTGCATCCCCTTCTTGATCCATCTTCTGGTGACAAGCTAATCGATTATCGCTTGGGCACTGAACAAATGATCAAAGCCACTAAAATGGCCTTAGGGAGTTTGGAGTGCCATTTGAGCTGATGGCATCAAGAGCATGATGGCACATGGATCCCGACCTCCCATATGTTAGCTCCATCATTTTCGTCGCAATCACCATCTTACCCATCAGTCGTCAGAGGCTCTAATAAGTACAACGAAGAATCAATTTAGACGGGAATTGAAGTGATATACACCATGGTAGGCACGGCACATACGGGCGTCTATCAACCGGACATGGTTAAACAACCATCTGATAAAGAGTTTGTGAGGGGTGATTCAGAGTGGGCGGCTGTGTTCTCCAGGTACAAGTCTCAAATGTTGGTAGACGGCAAACTTACTGGACATCCCTTTGATGTTATTGATGGAGGTTTGACGGGAGTTGGAGAGGGCCTGAGACGTTTACAGAGAGGTCAGGCTAGGGGAGTCAAATTTGCCTACAAGGTGGGAGAAGTTGAGTGAGAACATTTTGGGGTATCGTTCTGACTACTCAGGAACCGATTTTGCTTGCGATGCAGCAGAAACAATTTATGTACTATCTTATCAGAATGTATACTTGATTCTGAATTAAAAATTTAAAGGGCTTGAAGTGTTGGGAAACAAGCATAAATTTCAGAGCATGCAAACTGACACTTACGAAAGTCTAGACCCATTACCTACCGAGTTTGCAGCTATTAATTCGGCATTTAAAAGCTTGTATGAATCTACGACGCCGATCAATCAATCATCGCCATTTGAGAATCAACCCACTTCATTATCGACAAATTCATCATTTGCACTTTTTCCATGATTTATTCATTTAACCTGCCAGCCTATCAGCCTATCAGCCAATTGTACTCGGACAAATTCCGATCAAACCCCATCGTTTTCGGACATACCGGTAGGTCTCGGTATTGTCTCCATTTAATTTCTTAATTTGGTTCATTATCTAAGTCATGACGTCGCAAAATTTACCCTCCTCCAGTTCTGTTTGTGATGTAACCAAGTGACATTCATCCTAGTATTTTTGATTACAATGCATAGTTCGTGCATAATAATCTTCTGGCTGTACAATGGCCTGGGCGAAGAGGGGTAAATACTTTACTATCTGTTCTTTCTTGTCACCTCCCTCCCTTAATTCTCATCCACGTTTTTTTGAGCAAATTATTGAGTGCAAAACATTCAATCGATTCTTGAATTTTTGGTAACACAATGTCAGAATCTGAATCGAACGTCCACCATGCAGATAGCATGAATGGTCCAACAGGTAGAAGTGATGCCAAATATCCAAATATACTGCATCCAGATCTTGAGATACGTTCCAGTGATGGATTGCCAGATCCAAATGAATTGGAATTAGAGGAAGAATTAGACGGTTGGCACGGATATATCGAATGGGAAAAATATCCTGAGCGAAAGCAGAAAGTAAAAGAATTCATGAAGAAATTTAAGTTTCCTCCGGTATGAAAGCAGTCCAAGTTCTAAACGAGACTCAAATGCTGATCGACTTGTGCTTCAGGCACCCGAATTTCAATTGGTTCCCTTGCCAAAAACCAATCCAATACTAGAAGGTGTGAGATGGAAACAGTATCATTATGCATTAGGCAAAAAGATGAAAGATATGCCAGCAGAGAGTTGGCTGTTTGTTGAGAAGGAAAAGTCTCCGGACATGATTCATGTTTTACAATTTCCATATAACGGAGAACCCCCTCGCGTATGTTCATCTACTTTTTTGAGTATGGGGATAGCAAGAATAACAAAGTTAAACAGAATCGACTTGTCGAATCGGCTATAACTTCTAATGAGGATCATTTTGTGCGAAATCATGGTGGAATTCCTGAGATTGACGAAGATGCTTACTTCTTCGATGTTGCTGGCTTGGTGAATAACCCGAAACGAATTACTTTGAAAGATTTGAAGGATGAAACCATCTTTCCGAGACAGAGTAATGTGGTCACGATTCAATGCTCAGGAACCAGAAGAATTGAGCAAATCAATCAGTATCCTGGTGATGGAGATGAACTTATCAATGCACCCGTACGTTAAAACTCGCTTTCTTTTGCACAACGGTATACTAACATAAGCAAAGTGGGGAGAAGGAGCTATTGGAACCGCACGATGGACCGGTGTATCCCTCAAGAAAGTGATCAAATACTGCGGCGGTCTCAAAGACCCATCAGGAACTTATCATCTTGAATTTCTCGGCGCAGATACCTACTTCAAAAAAGGAGAAGCATACAACTACGCTGTATCCGTCCCCTGGCGCAAGGTAAAAATTAACGAGGTACTTCTCGCCTGGGAAATGAATGGGGAGTCACTCCCTAAAATTCACGGATTTCCATTACGTGCTGTGGTATTTGGCTATATCGGCGCTCGCTCGTGTAAATGGCTCACCAGGATTAATGTTCTCCCCCATGAATCTCTTGGTCCAGTGCAGAAGAAAGAATACTTGTATTACAATTCTCAAGTTGGCAAACATAATGCAGCTTATAGTTCTGGGTTCAGCATTCAAGATATGCCAGTAACTTCAGCGATCATGAGCCCTGTGGATATGGATCAGATAGTGCATGAGGGGACCATTAAAATGAGGGGATGGGCATATAGTGGGGGAGGACATTGGCCGGTGAGGGTAGAGGTCAGTGGGGACGGAGGGAACATTTGGTATGAGGTACCTTATGAGAACTTGAGCGAAAAGTATTACCATGCCTGGAGATTATGGGAGATTGATCTTCCAGTCGATGCGGAAGGATGGTTAGAGTTGGTGGTTAGGTGTTGGGATAACTCAATGAATACACAGCCTACGTTTGTGAGATCTGCCTGGTAAGTTTCCCCTCTTTTGGTAGTTGATATTTTAGCTAATATCTTTCAGGAATTGGGATCTTCATGTCACTTCTTCCTGTCACCGAATCAAGGTCTTTAGTATCAACAAGACGAGACCAAAGACAGCAGCAAGATTGCAAATGTATGAGAAAATGGGAGTACCATTCCTGCCAATTACCCAGCCTGGACCTTTTGAATTGGAGGAAGATGACACTTATGATGCAGAAATGGAAGCTAGAGGTGGTCGGGATCCTTTAGAGTAACGGAGCAGATATCTCATGGAGTTCATTTGGTTATTATTTTCAGTGGTGCTACGGAGTTGAGTCAAGCGTGATTGTAAGCAGAATACTATTACTTGATAGTTATCTTTGATAAATTAATATGAAATTCTTTTGTTATTGAGAATACTGCCCAGGTACTCGACTCTGATCCCTTCATTACCGGTGAGTCGATGGTCTTACAATTTCACATATTTCCATGAGCTTAGCTAAAGGCCTACCAGATATTAGGCTCTAAAGCCTATCAATTATAGGGCTACAATTTCAACCCCACCACTGACCATTAAACGACGTCATAGCACATACTAACTACCCCACACATTTTATATCCTGCTTGAACTCTACTCTATCTTCAAGTTGACTTTCGTCACTTATTTTACGTTCAAATAACACTAAAACAATACTATCCAAGGGCCGGTCCGCTTTTTACAACTTACTATATAGTCCAACAAAACTAACGTACACTTGGAAAAAATAAGAGAGAGAGAGAGATGTTTCAAGCACTCAAATCCAGCATGACGGACAAAGTACAATCTCCCCCTAAAGATGCTGATGGGAATCCCAGCAACCAAGAAAAAGTCCTTTCTCAAATCAACGAAAAGATAAAGGCAGCTCAAGAAGCCACCGAAAAAGCATCTGCCAATCGCGAAGAAGCATCTTCGCTTCCTGATTCCGAAGATGCGCAAGAAGCAAAGGCAAAACTTCTGGAAGAAGCCCAGAAATTGGAGAAGAGGGCGAATTCGGAGTTGAAGATTGCTCAGAGGTTGCAGAGTGGAGTGTGGCAGGGAGGTGCAGGAGGTGCGGGGATAGGTGCCGGTGTGGGAATGGGGTTGGGGACGGTGGTGGGCTCGGTGGTCGGAGGTGTGGTGAGTGTGCCGACTACGGGGTTGGGATTGCTGGCGGGGGTTGGGGCGGGCGCGGCTCATGGTCCTTGGTTTAAGTTACCGAAGATTGGGGGAGAGGAAGGAGAAGCGGGGGAAGCAGATGAGAAGGCCGCGGAGGGGGATGTGAAGAAGGAAGAAGGGGAGATGAAGAAAGTGGAGGCAAAGATGAAAGATGAGAAATAGTGGTTGTGAGATGTAGATGATTGCTTTCGATGAGAATCTACGAATTTCAACGGCCGATATGCGAATTTCGAATCAAGAAGCGATGTTTTATATTATACCAATTGTTTGGAGATGGGACGAGATTGAATATTTATGGAGGCCCGCTGGAGAAACATCATCACACACGAAAGTGTTGATGCTTGTATTTTATATGGGCACATTTGGAGTTGGAATCATGAACTCATTTTTTGTTGTTTGAATCTCATATGATGGTTTGATACTTTTATCATGCTATTGTTGTACGTTCTTTAATTGTATATTATCTCATCTTCATGGAACGAAAACTTCAGGACAATTTGAACATTGTAGTCTCGTGAAGACTAGACGACCACAACCATGCTTGAATTCAACAACTTAAAGTCTATACATACTCCCATCCAGACTATCCCAGACCACAGGTTATAATATGCGATATTCCCTACAAATTCTACTGGCTATCATCTCATTACCAGATCCAGGTATACAATCTTTCGATCAAGTCACGGAGTTCATGATGATAGGTATCCTAACTATATCACATTCCACTCTACAAAATCTTACCTTCTTCATCTGATTTTGTTTATAATACTCTTCAAGACCAAAATATCAACTTCCCATCAATCAAACCAAGCCCAAAAGTCACTATAGACTGGTCTTGACTTTGCCTTACCTTGCAGCTCACCATCTACCAACACATCATTTCGCCCGAAATTTTTGTTATGGACATGAAATAAGGGCTCGTTTAGATATTAATTCCGATCAGAATCCGCTAAATAATCCGCTTTTTCTGCTACAATGGATTTCGTAATAACACTATTCTATTTTCAAAAAGATAAATTCCTTTTTTTTTTTTCATTTTTCTATTTATATATTGATTCCAATATAAAATCTGTAGAAAATAAGAGGGAATAAAGTATATATAACGTGTTTTATTAGTGAGTGGGTCATATCAGTAAGTAGGTTACTTTCATCTCAATTTATTTTTTTCTCTTTCAATATATGTTTTATTAATAATCTATAATAAATTCGAATACTTAAGAAGCCTGTATACTCCTTGTTACGGGAGCTGCCTCTAGGGTCACGTGGAAGTGTCTAGAGATCTCTCGAGGTGGTTTAGACTAGACTTCAAGTAGGAATTCAATAAGGTTGTAACTGGTTGCAATTCTCGTAACTATAGTAATGAAACTAATGATTGTTCTTGAGCACGAAGCTCTACATTGTAATGAAATCTGTTCTCTTATATAGACCTTCCTGCTCTGCAGAACCTACAGTTCTGTCTTGTCTGGATCCTCTGGATCCTATGGATCTAGATGTTTATTCTTCGATCCCTTAGATCCTCTAGGTCCATCACGTGACTTCCTGACCATGTGACGCGGTATATTGGATGCCGTCGTAACACTCCTTACTATTGAAGTTATTCAAAAAGACAAAAAAAATAAGCATTCGAAAAGTTGTGAAGATGTATAATATCCCGAATACAATATTGTAGTATAGAATTAATAATTCTATTCCTTATTCCAAATATCGATTTAAATTTAATAATTTTTTAGAATTAGAGAAGAATATTATTTCTGAATATATAATTGATATGGATATAAAAGGATTTCCATTTAAATTAAAAAATGTGAAAGATATGGTGAATTATATTTTCGAATTGAAGGGTGTAAAGTGTGTTGAAAAGCTTTAGATGTATTAATTTGTAAAACATTGAATTGAATTAAAGATGCGTTTTAATTGTGTTTATAACTTTCAAAGAACTTTTTGTGAAGATTTTAAACTTATTAAAAAGTAGTTTCGATTAGTTATGAATATATGAGTGAAATATAATATTTTGGATGGCGATTTTTATAATTTTGATGAAATGAGCTTTATAATGAGTATAATATGCTTTGGAATGGTAGTAATTAATACTGAACGAAATAGCAGAAGCAAGGTAATATAATTAGGTAATAAAGAATGGACTATAGTAATTATATGTGGTAATAAGAAGGGTGAAATTATACCCTCATTTCTAATGATTCAAGGACAGGTTTATCTTTTCAATTGATATATTGAAACCGATTTTCTTACAAATTAAGCTATTAAACCTATATCTAATGAATGAATAAACAATAAAATAGATTTAAAATGATTGAAACATTTCAATAAGTACATTAAAAATCGAAAAAAGGGCAGGTATCGAATATTGGTACTAGATAAGCATAAAAACTATAAATCAAAAGCTTTTCAAGTATATTACAAAGAAAACAATATTATATACTTAAGTCTACCACCATATTCAAATCATTTAATTTAACCATTTAATGTGAACTGTTTTAACAATCTGAAACATTTATATAATAATCAAATTGATGGATTTATTAAGATATATATTAATTATATTTCGAAGGTTGAATTCTTTATAGCTTTTAAAACTATATATAAAGAATCAATTATCTCTCAGAATATGAAATCAAAGTTTCAAAAAATAGATTTAATTCTATTTAATCCTATAATTATATTCTCAAAATTAGATATTCGAATTTGTATACCTACCCCCTTCTTTTTCAATCTAAATCAATAAATCTCTTAAACCCTTTGTAATTCAATTGAAGCTCTTTCTTAATTAATATTAGTTAAATCTCAAATAACTTATTATTATTTAAGCTTCCCTATATTTATATTTAAAACTATACTAACTTTAACTAAGGGTATAAAGAGATTAGCTTATAAGAATATACTTTTAAATATAAAGATCCGTACATTTCGAATAGCAAATAAAATATTAAACAAATATCAATATATGAAAAAAATCTAATTATATTAAGGAGGAGTGCTCATTAAACAAGAGACTTTTGATATATTATTTTAATAAAAAGTTGATATTTAGATTCAATATGATAAGTATCAAAAAGGAAGGAATCTTAATAGGAAAGTATTTTTTAGTTGATATTGTAGTAAATATGGAAAGATAGGTTATAATACAAGAACCTGTCAAAATGATGTAATAGATCCTAGATTATTAGAATCTTTATAATTTCAATTAATTGATTTTATTATTATTGAATAATATGGTTTTGAATAAGTGAATTGAGGTGAAAGTGACCCACTCACTAATAAAACACGTTAAGCCTTTAGATAAAGAAATTCAAATTTTCATTATACGAATATAATTTTCAGCTTATTATCTTTATTTAAATCGTTTAATAAACAAATATAGAAATAATTTCATTTCATTTAAATTTAAATTTAAACTCTAAATTAAAGAAAAACTTAAAGCTTTAAACTATAAAAGTTTATAAAAACCTATAAATTCACGGATTTTTCGATTAATTAAAAACAATGACTATTTTTCTAATCATTAATTTCGATCTATATTTTCATTTCCTTATACAAATAATCAAATTATTTAACAAATTATTCAATATCTTTTTTAAAAATTAAATCCTTAATTCCACTCAATATATTAAATATATTAAAAGCAAAAATATTCAACGAAATCTACAATTTGATATTCAAACAGAAATCTAAAGTCCATCATCAAAATGAGCGAATTATTCGATGGAATCTGATCGGATTTGTGCATCCAAACTAGCCCTAACAACCTCAATTATCCTCATTCAAAGCCATCCATCCGTCACAGATAACAATACTTTTTTTCAATAAATAACAGCTAAAATCCTCCCTATTTCCCAGGGTGCAAACACTTTCAGAAGCCATGGTCGGAACTGAGGCAAGAAAAAACTATGCAGGTCAAAGTTCATTTCTTTAGTTTCTATCTAAATTCTCTAACTAACACACTTCAACCCTAATCAACACTAGGAATTCCTCATTTCACCACCATAACTTTCTCCCTAGTTCCCAATCCCAGATTCCTTAACCAGTGTGTGAAATTTTCAGAAGATCCTAACTACATTACCATTCCAGCGTTCCAAAAATCAACCCGGAAATATCTCATACCATCTCATCCCATTTGATCCCATCCTATACTAACCTCTTTCCAATCCCCTTCCACTCCCCCTTCCCAATCCCTTAATTCCTCCAATAATATCTCCTCCCTACAAAACCAACAATCCCACCACCCCCAACCCCCCAATCAACCCACCAATCCCCACTTCCCTCGCACTCCTCCCCGCCGCCCCCAAAAACTGTACCGGTCCACTCTCATCCCCCGTTTCATCCCCAATTTCACTGGGCGTCGCTCCAAACGCTGATTCTACCGCATTATTCAAAGGTCTCGATGATTCATCGATTGTAGCTGGATTAGTCGCAGCGGGAATCACAGAGGGGAGGGCAGATGCAGCGAGGATACTGGCACTTCCGACTGGGGGGAGAGATTGAGGGAGAATGGATGCGGGGAGGGAGGAGAGGGGATGGAGTGGGAGAATGCCTGCTGCGGGGGGAGAAGAGGGGGTTGTGAGGGCGGCGAGAGAGGCGGTTGTAAGGGAAATGGTTGCGAGGGGTGATTGGGGGAGGATGGCAGGTGTGAGGGCTATTCCGGGGAGAGCGCGGGTTTGTGTGCAGGGACTATGTGGGGAAGATGAAAACATTAGTTTTTTTCTTAGTTGTTTTTTGTTTCATGGATTTCGCTCGCTCGCTCGCTACGCGAAAAGGGGAAAGAACATGAAATGAAATTAAAAATATAAATGAAAGAAAAGGGAAGACAAAGAAGGAAAGATAAACAAACCAATCTGTTATAGTAAGTGTCGAAGCATCAGTAACTGTATACATAATCCCATTCTGCTCAAACTTCGTCGCCTCAGGACAATAAGTCGTTAGCGCCGTGACAATTTCCGTCGTGTAAACTATCCCATGTTTTTTATCATCTTCGTCATCGTCATTCACATCAATATTGTAGTTATCGTTGTCGTTATAATTGATGTTGTAATTATTGTTGATATTGGTGTTGGAATTGTAATTCTCGTTTTCGTTGGTGTTGTAATTCTGGTTTTGGTTTTGGTTCGCGTTGCCGTTGGGATTGAGATTTCCATTGGAGGTTCCGCTGGAGGTTTCACTGCCGCTACCATTGCCACTTTTACTGCCGGTTGGAGAGTCTGTATCGAGACTGAGGACGAGCGTGGAGAGGGGGAGAAGGAGAACTGCGAGAGTGAGGAGTGTTGGTTGATGCATTTTGGGTTTGGTGTAGAGAGGTGTGTTGATAGAAATCTACTTTTTATTTGAAGTCTGGGAGTGTGATGACCAGAAAAGATCGACAGATTGACAGCTTATAGGAACCAGGCAGAATAGACTGCTTTAAATTAATATTGCGACGAGAGCTGGTTGAACGAACAACAGGAAAATAGCGAAGGAAGTCTTGGGAACTCCTATCTTCTTATGTGTTGACGGGTCAACTCACAGTTTCTCAGTTCTTCGCACATAGCAAATTATGGCAAATTATCCCCGCGTATCCAATCTTCTATCATGATCCCCCCTCATTTACGCCATGAAGCTTGTTTACCGATATTTTTAGCTTTGGAATGTAAAAGCATAGTCTTAGATTCGTCTTGAATCGCGAAGTTTGAAGACAGGAATGTGTATCTCGTATGATACACATTCCAGTCTACCTTGATCTCTTGGTATGTGGTTTCATGTTCGTCGACGTCGCGACGGAAAGTATGTGCGCCACTTTCTTAAAGTGATTTTTTAGCAACTGGCTAGCTCGTTTCTTCGAGACCGAAGTAATGATGGTAGTAGTATATGGAAATGAGGTGATGAATAATATGAGGGAGACGATATTGAGTTCACTCTCGATATTTTCAGAAATGTACATTAAACTATTTTTGTATGAGTATCTGATCGCTTGAATATCCACTGGGTTGACTCTCTGACTTGACATTTGAATACGAACAAGCTTACGAGAACACAGGTAGATTGTGGTCAACATCAGCAAAAGATACATGCCGACTTCTTCGTGATAAGTTTCCCAGAATAGATTTCTACGTACTGAACATTCCACGCCGAGATGGTAGATCAAACTTTCGACTTCAGGCCTGGACCTACGAAATCGTAAAGCCTATTGTACACGTCCACATATCCGAGCCTCAGCTATTCTCGGATATATAGTATCACCAGCGATAGTTGAAAAGGGGTAATTAGACCAACTGTAAATCTCAAGCTGTCAAGCTGTTAAGGTCCCAAACCCCCAAATTTTCTTTGCTAGCTAACACTCTGATAGAAAATAAACTCTACGCATACCATATTTTATTCTGCATCCTTATAAGAACTCTTTTCTTCCTCCTGTCTGATTCCATCTACTTACTATCGTTGAATCCTTGACCAACTCTCCATGATTTTTCTCAATATAATATCGTAACAACAACAAATCATCTGTCATTCCCCTGCCACATTCACTTGAATCTTCTTGTCAAAACAGAATCATCTAATACTCGAAAGAAATACTATCCAATCTGTCCAAACCACATATCTACAACCAATATTTGCATAAGAACTAATAGTTGACCTCTATCCATGTATGATATAAGATAGATATATCATATTTGAAGTGCCCAATCTATCAGAGACATTGAAACCATTTGAATGGATGTCTAAAATGATTTCCATCACCAAACAAACAAATCTTTCAATTCCCGAACCAAAAAGTCTCAGTGCAAAACTCAATTCAAATCCATCGTAGAAGCAAATCAAACTCAACCTCGAATGCACAAACACAAGGAAAACAGCATGTATATACATGACACGAACCCCTCCTTAAATATGACACGTCCAGCCAAGAAATCCCTTAAGAAGAAAGAAACACCTTTCATACCCGTCACAAATCTCTTCTCATCCCAATCCTCATCACGCTCTTCAAAAGCTAACCCACAATGACTTGTGATTTACACATTTAAACCATCTTAATATGTTTCCTCGTATGAGTGGACTTTCATCACGAGTATTGATGAAATCACCGAGCGCTCATCTCCGATTACCTATGTCCTATATCCTACCTCCTACACGACCTCCTACACACTATCTCCGCGAACCTTTGCAAGATTACGACATCTTTCCATTTATATGTCGCACATATGCATATGCATACAATACAATAGACACAAAACACATAAGCTCTCTGTCATCATCTAGATTCTAATCTCTTCGCCCTTGTGGTATTATTAATACTCGATTCTTATATCACATAGTATCATATAATATCACACCACACCACATCAGCAGTTCCCTCACCCTCCCACCCACCTCCTTACCAATCCGCCCCTTCCGCCTCACAATCGCCATCTCACCCGCCTCCGACCCGCCACCCAGCGGACTCCTCCATAAGAAAACGACAAGAAAAATAAACGCACCTACAAGTAAGCCTCAGTCTACCTACCAAATACACACATCACATCCACATCCACATCCACATCCGCATCCGCATCCGCATAAACTCATCTCGGCAAATCACGCCACCATGCGCGTTTGTTGAGAAATGCCATCTCATCCACCTCATCCATCTCTCAGACATCTCAATCTCACCCCCATCTCACCCCCATCTCACCTCCACTAAACTACACTCCACTCCCGAAATCGCTGCTTATCATCATAACATGATTTGATTATGAAATCCGTGATCCATGAACCGTAGCACAATCTACACTTCCCACGAACCTCCAGATCCCGAATCTTTCAAATCCCGAATCTTCCAAATCCCGAACCCCACCATCTCAATTCACACCCCGAAGATGAAAGATCAAAGATCAAAGATTCCACCTCCAAATCAATTTCCAGCAACCGTGTGCAAATACATCAGTAGTAAATAAAAAAGCAAGCCAGCAAGTGCTAAACCCCAAATTAATAAACTTAAATATAACAATTCTCCGCCCCGGGTCTCCGGCTCGGAGATGAGATGAGATGAGAAGCTTGGGGTTTGCTGACTGTGATTTGATATGAGGGATAGTTACCTAGTACTACTTAACTTGTTTGGATAGCGAAGTCGCTGGTGAAATGGGCTGGGATGGGATTGTAACACACCTTGTGTTCTTGTCACGCTATGCTATGCTACGGACGAGTATGCAGTTGGCTTACTCTATCTGATTGTCTATTTGGTAGCGATGAGATGAGATGCCACAAAGAGATACATATACAGATATAAATACCGAGTACTCAGAAACAAATTACCCACAATCTCTAGGTACCTAGGTGTACTCAAACAAATCATCAGCTACCTAGGTAGGTAGGTCTATAATACCCATCTGCCTAGATAGATATCTAGATACTAGCACACATCTCATCTCACCACATCTCATCACATCAGACTGTATCTACCCAATACCTCCGTACCACCTAGCCACTAACCATATACACATTGCGCCAGAAATGAACACCCACGCAACACCGTGTCTTCACATAAGCATGCCACTTGAAAATCGTGGAGTGGCGTGGTGATGGGAAGGGATGAACAAAAGTATGGGAATAGATTTCCAATCATTCTCATTCTCAACCCTATGACTTTGTAAATAAATAACTCTAGATCTCTTGTTCGTATTTCCAATCTGTGATTCTGATTATATTGTATCTAGGTACCTGGATACCTAGTATATATCACTGATATCGCATTGCGCTGCGTTGTGTCGCAATTTGGTACTATGGGTTGTAGTATTGTGCATATATAGGTATATACCAAGTAAGTATTTTTATACTTATATACGAACATACAAACATGCATACATACATATATATATACATACATACATACATTCCAACACCTCACCCACCTCCAATAAGCCGAACGAGAAAAAACAGAACATCGAAGATAAACACTCATTTCAAATTCGATATTAACTAAACTCAACTAAAACCAACTAAAATCACATAAAATCTTCCAACCAAAATCCAGAATCGCAACACAAGCAAAAACAAAGCAATAATCCAAAATAAGTTTCGAATCCCAAATACCATCCACGCGAATACATTATTCACACCCAGGAATCAGAATGATGATTAATATCATGACCAAGTATCGTATCAAAAGACAACTAATTTCAATCTATGTTCTATTTGGTATCCCGAGTTCTCTATCGCACCTACCTACTAGGTAATAATATATATATAACCTTATGATATGCCGAATCTTTGCCACATGTGTTTATTAATCAGTGTGTACTACACATGAATATCACATGCATTCTGCCTGATACTCGGATGCGAAGCCACGGGGTTGGCGTGTACAAAATGTACTGTAGATACCTACATGATATAGACGTATACAAGATATGGAAAAAAGAGTGGCAGAGAAGATGGATGCATGGTACTTGGAATTTGCCATGCGAATACAACGATGTGGGAATATGTTTTAGGAAGGAGAGTGAGTGAGTGAGTGAGTGAGTGTAGTGTAGTGTTGTTTATTTTGTAGGAGATTTTGATACATATAAATATCAATAGTCCTATTGATATCAAATCTTGTCAATGCAACGATATGGTAAAGGTAGTAAGTAGGTAAGATTGAATATCCAGAAAAGATGAACAAATCAAAGTATCTTCCTCCTCATCCAGGAGAGGAGCCCCGAGTTGGACTTGTTTTCAAAAAGGGGAAACTCGTCTCATTTCCTTTTTCTGCATACCGTACTACTTACTATATTGAGACTCCATACACGATGAAGTGTCCCTACCTCAACATCGCTTGGGTGAGATGACTGACTATCAGAAGACTCCCAACATCCAGATTTGAGTTGAGACCAAGTCATGGCCTGTACACATCGTATCGCCTGGTGTGCGGGTATTGCCGTCGGTATAGAGTGACACGGCGAACGAGAAAATCCCAAACATCTGCCGATGGCGCTGTCGCCTTACCAGGATATTGAACGGTGACGAAACCGAAAAGTATTTTTGGTTGCATTTTTGGAGGACGAAGCTTCAGCCAGCCTGACAAGTTACAACATTTATTTTTCCTTTTGGAACCAAATTTGTGTTTCACATGAAACCCGCATCCTAGGTAGAGAGAGATCATGGAAGACACGTAGAAGATGGAATGCCTGTTTAGAGAAGTTTAGGATTGATGAGTTATTGAAGATATTTACTAGGGAGGAGAATGATGATTATTCTCCGATGATTATAAAATTTGATGGAGGGGGATCGATTACAAAACAAGTGACCAAATCAGTAAGGATTCTCAAGAAAAGTTCCATGCTTCTAGA